CTCATCAGCTCTGCCACTCCACCAAGATATGAACCCTCGCAAAACGAACCACCAAAGTGCACCAATACTCTAACACGGTTGCTAGTCATTCAAATAAGTGAACAACAAAAAAAGAACTAAAAAAAAGAAACATAAAAATGCAGTAGATGAATGGTGCAGGCGTTAAATTGTTAGAGATCACTGTTTTTTTGCCTGGATGATAAATGCAGAGACCAAATCCTCACCTGTGAAAAAGCAGTCAATTAATGAGGTGCGCAACTTATGCGAAAGTTCTGCGAATGAATTTTGAATAGTCGTAAAAATTATGCTTTATTCGATTTGGTTATGCGATTCTTAAATATGCGAGCGAAAAAATGTCACATAATTGTCAATTATCCGGAGGGTATATGCGAAATTGTTACGCATATTAGTAAATTATGTGATTGACTTGGATATGCAATTACCAGAAAATGCGTATTCAACAAACTATGCGAAATAGATGCGAAATAGTTTCGCAGTCATATAGCCCTGCGAAAAGAAGGCGCATAATCATCGTAAATTATGCTGCATTCGATATGTATATACAATTATCAAAAATGCGAAAGATGTTCGCACATTTGTAAATTATGCGTTTGATGTGGATATACGATTAAAAAATGCGAAATGTTTACGCATAGTCAGAAATTATGCGGCCGATTGGATATGCGCTGGTTCATTTGGACATGCGAGTGTAATATCGCATAGCATTTCGTGAATTCTGGGGTGTAAAAGAAGTTATTTGATGGGGTGGTGTGAAAAAGAAAGAATAGATATATAATGGGGTGAAAAGGTGATTGCCAAATATATTCTTGATTTAGACCATAGTTACTGAATCCGCAATAATGCTAACGAGTCAACTGTTGACTCCGTTACGGAACTAATAGCCAATGGGATAGCTCCATGTGGGACTGTCCCACATATCTCCAATGTGAGACAGACCCACATGGAGCTGTCTCATTTATTGGCTCCGTAACCGAACCAACAGTTAGCTCTTTAGCATTACTGTATTGTCGGAGATCAGATACGTCCAGATGGAAGCAGAAACTAGAGCGAGCGGCAGTAATGGTAGTGATGCCAAGTCACCTCTGCTGTGGAAGCGCGGTGGCAGTGGGCGCAGCCGCCGTGGTCTCAGTCGCCGGAATTCCGTAAACTCACTACGCAGCGATTTCGTTTCCAGGCTTCCAGATAAGGTCCGGGCAGCAGCTGACCCCGAGACCCCTTCAGCTGTTCATCTTTCGACAATTCAGGGTTTAAGTGGAGGTAATTATTAACACAGCTCTGTGTGTTTCATGTATGTGTATTTTCCGCTTTTATACCGTTATTATGTTGTATATTCCTCTTGTCTGGTTCTTGTAATTGTAATTAGTTATCATTCTTTTTGCTTTATAAGCATGATTCTCTCTCTCTCATTCTAAAAGGTGGAAAAAGGTAATTATTCGGTGCATGTTTGCTCTGGAATTGGGGTTTTGGAACTAGGACTAATATATAGTCTGTTGGTTTTGGTAAAGGAAAAAAAAGTTGTGCTTTTTGGGGCGCTTATCCTGCTTGATGATCGGACATATTTGAGTGTCAACTGTGCATACAGTATTATATCGTGATTATTGGTTACATATCGTAATTTGACGAAAGAAATACGCCATATTTTGGGTGTGATTTTGATTCAATCTTCAATTCTTGTTCGAAAGGGTTGCAGGAAGTCGATGAAAATTCAAGTTGTTTGTAACTTTTGGGGTATTTATACCATTGCTGTAGGAGAAAAGGATTATTACGAAAGACAATTTGCTACCTTAAGGTCATTCGAGGAAGTCGATTGCGTGGTGTCGTCCGATGGCTTGGACGAGGAGGATTTGGAAGAGCAATCACAACACGAGAGAGCTATGAGGATATCCAATTATGCAAATATTTTGCTGCTGGCATTTAAAGTGAGCTCTCTTTTGAAATGTTACCCTGATGATGGATTCCTTATTGTTTTTCTTGTATATGAGAATATTATTATTTTCATGGAATGATAGTAAATTAAAGCAATACATTTGACCAATTATCAAAGAAAAAACCCAGCTAATTACAAGAAACACTCGTATGCAAATTATATTTCGGAAAACCCCTTCACGTTTATACAATTGTTATCGTAAGCCCCTTGAACTCTAGTGTTGTATATATTTTGAATTTCATAATTTTAAAAGCAAGCTGGGTTTTCTGGTGAATGGTGATTAGGTTAAACGCCAAGTGTTTTTGTGATCATCCCTATTATCATTTGGTTATTTACAGGAAAATTGTGAACAATTTGCGTGGGGTCTTTCTTTCTTTAATATAATCCTTTCGTGGATTTGCCACGATATTCCTTTTACATGCAACTTTTTTTTGTGTTTTAAGATATATGCCACGGTCAAGAGTGGATCACTAGCCATTGCTGCATCGACCCTTGATTCATTGCTTGATCTAATGGCTGGGGGCATACTTTGGTTTACCCACCTCTCGATGAAAAATGTTAACATCTACAAATATCCAATCGGAAAGTTGAGGGTGCAGCCAGTTGGAATTATTGTCTTTGCTGCTATAATGGCCACTCTTGGTATGTATATATTTCACTTTGCTTTATAATAGCTGAACTTCCCTTGAAACATTTTTAACCTCTGCGCGAGTGTTCTCATCATTAAGATGCGGATGAGTTTAAAACTTTAAAGTGATATTTGTGTTTATTCACTATTCTAATGTGCCATTTCTCAAGTACCCAACGAAAATTGTGGATACTTTTCTTGCTCGGATTAGAAAAACAAAACGGTTACCTTTGAAACTAATATATAGTCCACCTTGGTGCTTGTTTCTGTTTTACAAGGTACACTGTTCATATAAGGTTACCCTGTTTATCAATTATGATGTCAGGGGTTTTCACAATACCTTAAAAGGGCTTAGACAACTGAACTTTGTTGTATTTAGTAAAATCCAAAGCATCCTTTGTATAGTTATCCTTTTACCATACTAACATAGTTATCACTCATCTACTTGTAGGGTTCCAGGTTCTGGTCCAGGCTGTAGAGAAATTAATCGAAGATAAACAAACTGAAAAAATGACTTCTAATCAAATGGAATGGTTATTCTCAATTATGCTTTCTGCTACAGTGGCAAAACTTGGTTTGTGGATTTACTGCAAGAGTTCGGGAAACAAAATTGTCCGTGCCTATGCCAAGGTATATATTTATGTTGAATCTTGCTTTACAAATGTCTCGTATTTCCCTAAATTCATATGTTTATATTTTTTTTTTTGGGCAGGACCATTATTTTGATGTGATAACAAATGTCGTAGGATTGGTGGCAGCCATCCTTGGTGATAAGTTCTTCTGGTGGATTGATCCAGCTGGTGCCATCATCCTAGCAATTTATACGATTTTGAATTGGTCTAAAACAGTTCTAGAAAATGCAGGTTAGCATGAATTCAACGCCTGCAGGGAGGCTGTTAGCTTTATGTAACCCAGTATTAATATTATTATGATGCAAATAGAAGATTCGAATTTTTTTATTTTTTTTTTAAGTTTGTCTTAATATTAACAGTTCCAAATACTTTCTTGATATTTGGTCCTGCTTTTCCGAGTTGCACTCTCGATAAGTGTTATCAGACTCTTAGTTAAGTAATTACATAGCTAAAAGGAGGTTTTTGTAACATACTAAAGGAGTATTATTTTTTCCCCTTTTATTATTCAAATATATAGTTAAACCTGGTAGATAATCTGTGTATTGGCCAAGAACTTTACAGTTGAAACTTTTTTGAAACAATATCATGGTTAAACAAAATTTGGGTTTCTCTGGTCGGATTACTAATCAACCCCTAGGTTGAGTGCCGGTTGATGCAAACACGAACAGAGGTCAACTAGCTCGATTTTCTTTTACACCTGATTTGAGACGATGTGACTTTAACCTTGGCTGAACTTTTTCCTCTTTGGATTTAGAGTCATTGGTGGGACAATCGGCTCCTCCCGAAGTACTGCAAAAATTGACGTATCTTGTAATAAGGCACCCTCGGGTCAAGCGTATTGACACGGTCCGCGCTTACACATTCGGCGTCTTGTATTTTGTTGAGGTTAGTTTAGTAATTTTGCTGGCTTTCTTTTTTTTTCTTTTCTTCTTTTTTTTTTCTTAATAAATACTGGAAGGTAATATTGGTTGCATTAGGTTGATATTGAGCTCCCAGAAGATTTGCCCCTCAAAGAAGCTCACACCATTGGAGAGTCTCTGCAGATTAAGCTTGAGAAACTTAGAGAAGTTGAGAGAGCATTTGTTCATCTCGACTATGAATGTGAACACAAACCAGAGCATTCTGTTTTAAGTCGGCTGCCAAACAGTGAGCCTTGAGCCTGCTAACTTGACGAAAAAAGGTACCTTCTGGAAATTTGGTTCTTGAGATGCTTTTCATACGGCAGAAAACTCATTTACGGGCAGAAATATCTGCTAATGTTGAAGAAATAAAGTAATTCTCACATGTCCAAAACAGTATATGCTTTTACGTGAAGTCACGGAACAAAGAGAAATATAGAGAATAAAGGTCCACAAAAGGTGAAAACGAAATAATATTCCACTTTGCACTCAGCATTGTTTATCATATGTATATGGCTCAGCATATTTCTGTACACCAAAAAAGCATAGTATATTTGATCAACGAATTATAATATTCAAATTCTTTTCCCACTCCAAACAGAGCTCCTATAAGTAACACAGCAGGACATTTTCTTATACTCGTAACAAAAAATGGCTAGACACTACAAATCGTATTACCATGAATTTTACCAGTACCTCTCGTTGCCACTCCACTTCATCTTCATCCTCTCCATAATATTGCTCTTCTTGATCTTCACTTGGTACATAAACTACGAGTACATGTTTTATGACCTAGTGGATCATCTAAAGCTGAGTCTCATGGTTTTTCCAGTCCTCCTTTTGCTGGTCGTCCACTGGTTGGCTGATGATGATGAGCGTTTCCCTTTCTCTCTGAGCATGCCCGAGAGGGACTCGCTTTATAAGCTCGGTGGGTCCCCACTTGGGGTGGCTCTTTTGCTGCTCTTTCTTATCTTCATGATCTCGCATCATAGCTCGCTGCACGAACGTTGGTTTCCCTTGTTTAGTCGACGCTAGATGTGATATTCCAACATGATGATCCCATTCACAATATTGAGATTACTTTTCTGTGATTTTTCTTTTTTCTTTTTAACTGTGGCTTGCATGATGTTTTTGACGGTTTCTGAATGACAAGTATATAAGTTTTGTTGATTTCATGTTGTTTTAAGAAATCAACCAGAAAATAATTTTGTCTTAAGGTTTCTTTTCACCTTTTCTTATTTATTAATCTTTTTAATTTTACTCTGCATGCCAGAATTAGTATTTTTTTTTTTT